TAAAGCATATAAAAATAATGCAAACTAAAATTAAAAATTTGGAGTGAATAATATCAGAAGTCAGCATGAACCTAACATATCTTTTACTTTTACTCCTATTTATCGCGATTCTCAGTATTTCTTCCATATTATTAGAGCTTTTGTATAATCTTTTATTATTATTCACCCACTCATTCGTTACCGTTAATAAAACCAGATGAGCGTTATTATACTTAATTTTTTTAGTAAATAGATGAATATTTTTATCCGACAAATTTAATTGTTAAAATTTTATAAAACAATTTCTTATTATGGATATGCTACTAAAAGTATTTATATAGAAATATTTAGCGTAATATGATTTGGAAAATATCGTGTCGGCACAAGATTTCGGTTCGTGAAGAATCAAGGAACAAGTACTTCGTATTATAAAATTAATGGAAAAATAATAAACAGCATAACATGAATTTTTTTTTAGCTGACCCTATTGACTATGGAAAGTTTTCCAGAGTTTGCGAATAGAAATATTTATGGCCATTCACATCTAACTTTTAATAATGAAGTTCATTTCCTTATGAAAGGCATCGAATTCAAGAAATTGAATTCATAGCTAAAACTCGGCTAACTCAGTAATTATTAAAAATAAAGAAGAAGAGAAAAAAGTAATGGGGGATTAATAACAGTTGCGGTTATTAATAATATTAACGTACGATCGAACAATAATAATTTAAGATATTAATGAACAATAATGGCGAAGAGATAAGTGGTGTTTAATGATAAAAGGTGCGATTTAATATTGGCGATGAAGATGTCAGCGAAATATTTGCCAATTTCGTATCTTATCTTGTTTATTGATAGTTCGATTAATTGGAATGATTAATGATGAAGAAATAATTGGAATTCTTGGAAATTCGCGCTGCAAATTGTTTTTATTGTAGTTAAAACATAATGAAACATATGAAAAAGAAATTTTATTGCAATATAATAACTATAATAATAATATGCAACAGAATGGTCGAGAGACATCAATGTGACTGAGGTTAAGCCATCATTGATTTGGCTTCTAAAATCTGTCATTAAAAATGAAGTAGTCTATGTTGTAGTTCGATCTTTTAGTGAGATTTTCGGTTTCATTTTAATAGTAGTCAGCACATTTAACCAAACCAGGAACAGTGAGTGACATTAGGTGTTGCTTCTCAAATTAATCTGGATTTTCAAATTCCATTTATTTATATTGTTTATATTATTGGGGTTTAAAATGGCAAAGTTTCTTAAACTAAAATATCAATAAATTTGATGAAATGAATCGTTGACATAAATAAAAATGAATTTAACAAAATCTGCAGTTAAAGCTTGATATATATTTTTGATCCATTTCATTTGCGAAAATGTGCGTTTTTATTGACACTTAAGATTAATAAACTAGATAAATTTCGTGGAATTGGATCTGAATAGATAATCCGAAAATGAATTTAGAAATGCGAAAAATTCATTCCAATTAATGATCATAAATTTATATGAAAATGCAATGAAAAGTCAACAGAAAATTAAAATTTGTTAGGAATAAAATTAATAAATATTTCAGATGCGTCAGAAAATTTTGCTGAAAAATCGCAAAATTTATGTGGGAAACAACAAAAAGCAATTGAATGAAGTCTCCTTATCCGTATTCTTTATTTACGATTTTACGATAGACTTCGATGATGCCACCGATAAAAATGCCACTAATTTTTTGTGACGATCGACTAACACTCGACGATGCAAAAAATGGGATAGCTTGAGGCGCTTCTTTTCAGATAGCCTTCCCATAAACGATTCAAAAATTCGTCCATCTTCTTGTTTTTTCATAAATGCAAAAAAAGATATAAAAAGTATCGTTCGAAAATTCCAACCACAATGATGAACTTTGTCTGCCCTCTAGAGAAATTTTTTACGATGGTCTTGATCGATTTTTTCTCACATTATAAATTCACTGAATTATTGTTCCTTTACTAATATTAGCGATCGCTTGGATCCTTAAAAAGCTGGGACAATTAATTTGTCGAAAAACCTTATAAAACTTATGTTAACTTTTGTCAACATGAGGCGTATTTTATGCAAAATAACTTTGAAAGATTTTATCGCCACGATTTGCATGTTCGTTAAGGTGTTGTTCTCTTCTGAGGAATTTGCGATCCTTTTATTAGATCTTTGATTAATAATCATCGCATGACGATTGTGGAGAAATCCTTAAAATTGTTAAACTTGTTAATCTTTTATTTTTTTGGAAATTTTAGTGATTTTAATTGCAGAAAATTTTTGATAGCCGCAAAAATATTCCAAATATTCTGATTTTGGTTAATTACATCGTTAATAAATAAAATTTGTTAATTGCTATTAATTATGCAGGAATTTTTGTTTATTTGTCTCATAATAAATGCAAAAAAATAGGATGCTGAATGCTTAATTCGGCATAATGCGCAAGAGTCATGGATTCATAATCAGCATTATTAGTAACATTATTAGAGTAGTGTGTTAACCAGAAACTGTGAGCCACTAATATTGAAGGAGATGCTTCGAAACAGCCATTAAGCAGCGACGGAATTGACGGATTTTTCGAAGCATTTATGTCAATTTAAAAAACTTAGAAAAAACTGGCTGAAAAAATCATTGTTTGACACACCTATTAAAATTAAAATATACCTATTTTTGCAAATTTTTTCATAATTATTGTAAAAATTTTTATGAAAATAATTTGCAAATGAGAAACACTTTGCCGCATTTAATAGGGTTCCTCATTTTGGCTTTTCATGTTCGAACGCGAAAATTATTGATTTCAATTTGAATTTTTTAGAAATTTTTTTTGAAAGTAAAAGTCTGATTTGTAAATTTAAAATTTAAAATTTAAAGATATCACAGCAAATTAATAGTGATTAAGCGGTGCTGAACCTGCATTTCTATAGACAAGTGACTTCCTGACGAAAATTTCTAACTGTACTAATAGCCAGCAGAACTAGGTTAATCAGAAACGATAAGGGCTTAAATTATTATTGAAGATAATTTCATAAAAACGCAGAAAAACTCTTTCCAGAGAAATTCATAAATTCATTAATCATTTTTATATAGCTTTTCTTAAGTAATTCTGCTAACTCTGTAAGCTAAAAAAACTTTGATTATTTCAAATATCTGAGATGTGTACAGTGGACAGCAACTGAACGAAATGTATGAATAGAGAAGAAAAAACCTTATTCTATTTAGAAAAAAATAATTTGGCAAAGGACTTTCTCACAGCCAAAATAGTACTTTCCTCGAAATTTTTTTTTAAAAATTAGTGGAAAGGAAATCCTTGCAGCGAATTGATATGCGGGTGCGGTAAGTCTTAAAATTTATTTCAATATATAATTTTAAGCGTAAATGTAGTATGAAAAAATATTATTAATATAAACTGCGTAAAGTATATAAAGTATGTAAATTATTGTTGAATTGTGGTGGAAGGTAATTGCTGTTAAACTGTGGTGAACACTGGCAAATCGAATGCCTTTATTGAATCGTGGATCAGACTACTCAACAAGTTCACAGTGTCACCAAGGCGCACAATAATATAGTCCAATATAGTATAATATAGAAAACATAGGTGGCTTGTGTGCTGGCACTACATTTATACCAGGTCTTTTAATAGTCTTTTCTACTTTTCAGACAGATCGAACCTCTGATGCGCGTTGCGAATCGAGACAACTATACAAGTATAGCTAAACAACTATTCAGCCATCTCTGCTCTAAAGCTGAATTATTTGCAAAATAGAAAGAGCATAGTAAGAAAACTGCTTTACTGAAATGTTAGAAATATTAATGCAAAAGTCGTTTAAGCAAAGAGCCTTTTCTTATAGTAACAAATCGAATAGTTCGGCAAAAAATAAAACAGTAAAATAATGCAAAACATGCAGGACGATGAAACGAATCAATTTAACTTTTAATTTTCAATTTTAATAAAAAAAAATCTATAGTAAAAGCAAAAAAAACGTTTTTATATTTCATTTTTGCATATTACTCATTAATCAATGCGCAGGAATGGTTATCTGATATGGTTGCATTAATTTGTTTAAAGCATCGAGGCTTTGATACTTCAGCTCAGGCAAGAATCAGGCCTCTCCCTAGCAATAATCTCTAAAAATCAGTGAAGCTAGTGCAATTAGAAATGACAAAAATTTACTTCATTTGCCTTTCATTCTCCTTTCATTTTTATTTCACTAATAAATTGCTAATCATCATTACAAAATTAGAGAGAAAATTAGAAAAAACGAATTTATAAATAGAGAATAATAAAAAGTTTTTAAATTTTGTAAAATTTTGCATCAAATAGAATTTATTTTAGGAAAAAATCAACCATTTTGTCAAGCTATTTACCAAACAGAAAAGATTAAAAAAATGCAAATTTTATGAAATTTAGCCATAGAAAAACTTATATATATACGTGATTAAAATTGGCTCAAACATAATATTGTAGATTTCAAATGCGTTTGAATTTCATTTCTAATTTCGCCTCAAATGCGGATAAAATTGCGAAAGAAATGAACCATTCTAAATTGCAGATAAACCTTTGTCGAATTGACAGGATAGCTGGTTTCTGCTATGGCGAAAGCATTATAGGTTTTCTCAGTTATTATAATGGTCAATGGGACCAACTAAACCAGAAATGTTCCCGTGGTATTAGAGGGAAAAAAAGGAATGCTGTAATATTGTTAACAATGGTCGTAAATATTTACTTTTGCAAATTAATCGCTCAACCAGTTGAATTTAATAATTACATGAAGTTAAATTAAGAAACCCAACAGCTTCCATTTTTATTTATGAATTCGGTCTGCAAACCAGATTCTGATCCATTTTGGAATAAATTTACATGTTGAAATCGAATGAACATTCTGAGAAATACTTATTATATTTTGAAAAAATATTGAAAAATATTCCTCTTAAAATACAATTTCTAAAATATTAATTCTTGCTATAAAATCAAATTATAAATTGTTTAATGCAATAAATAAAAACTAATGATAAGGAAAAGATTGCATATTATAATTGTGCAAATAAACGGGATTATTATAAAAAGAGCTGACAATCGCCTGAGAATCTTCATGGAAATGCAATGATGGTGCTGCTTCGACGAGCAATTTTTTTGGATCTGAATCTTTTGGAGCCATTCGTCGATGGAACGGATTTCTCGAATTCGAAAAGGTGGCTGGAAAATGATCTTTCACTTTAGAAATTAATATAAAACATATGATTAAAATATTTTGACATTTTCAAGGTAAGAATAAAAATAAGCATGTAAAAAAAAAACTTAACGATAAATTATGGGCAAAAATTATTGACTGTGGATTGCAATCGTTTTGCGAAGAAGCAAGAAAAAGTGCAAAAGTAATTGAGTTTTTTGGATCAGAGAACTGCGGACAGAAATGCAGGTGGAACTTTAATTGAATTTCACACTCAGTGTCAGTAAGCATAAATTTTTGATTTTTTTCATTTCTCTCGCCAGTTGACACTGTTTGCATCGACAAAAGTTTAGAAAAATACTTTAACAATAATTAAAATTTAATATAAATACATTTAATATTTTTCAATTTAATTTAATAAATCAAATCAAATCAAATACTTTTATACTCAAAAAGAACAGACGGATATATATCGATATATTCTTATATTAAACTGCAAATATTCAAGGATTTATTGATAAAAATCTAATGAAACTAACAGTTTTCTTGATTGATACTCGATAATTCCGTAAAATTTTTTGCATTTACACCATAAAATCGGTTCATCGCCAGAAATTTCGAATTCCTTGATGGGTATTCCTATCAAAAAATTTTTGTTATTATAACTTTAACTAATCTTTAAATTAGAAAAATTAAATCGCTATATTTAATGGATTGATTGTTAAGCGAATTTTATTCTAAAAAAACTTGAAATGAAATTGGGATAGTTTCGGTTGAAAAAAAAGGGTAAAAAATGATAGTTGTGGACATTAAGAAGAAAATTTCTTTGCAGAAATTTTAGAGGGAATTTGGATTTCTTATCCCAGATGGCATGTTGTCAAAAAATTTTCGTCATTGCTTAGAGCAAAAATCTACTGAAAAACGATATTTATGAGAATTATGCTGGGTTCAAAAAAACTAACCAAATCACTGTTGGTGTTCAAAACCTAAACTCACAAATTATACGCTGTCTTATCATAATGATTATTATTCTTCGACATAGTAAAGCCCAAAATGATATGAAAAAATTTCTGCTAGGCTATCATTGAAGATTTGGCTAAAAATCAACTAAATTTATATAAAGACTGAATAAACCTGCAATAAAGAAGTTAAAGTATTAATATAATTGATCGCAGCTTTCAAAATCTTTAATTTCGAAACACGTTTTAAATTCGTCCGGATCGATGGAAGATGACCTTTGAGGTCAACAAATGCCTCAAAATCAACAGATAATTTATTAGCAATTATGGAGTTATATTTTTATATTTTATAGCAGTGGTTTTTTAAGTATGATATCGGTTTTTTTTAATTAAGCGATTGGATCATAGTAAAAAACCTATTTTACATAAGTTTAGCAAGTAAAATTATTCACTCAACGTTTTCATTTCATCGCAGCAGTTTTCTACATGGTCAGGCAATTATTATTTTACAAGTACTAATATTGATGATTACCCATGTTCCTTGAAAAAGTTTAAAGAAGTTTCATTGGCCATTCCTACGCAATAAAAAACTTTTTTGCGTTACCTGGTTAACGATATGGACTCGAGTTCGTTCCCGTTCATTTCGTTTTGTTACAGCCATTGGAGGTTTATTTTTTGCATATTTCATTTCTAATGGCCTTTTGTCAAAATTCTTTCTTCCTTTCTTCACTGCCTTCTTCATTTGTTTTTTTCCTCTTCCTGAAAAATAAATGATTCTTTTAGGTGGCTGGTACTTAAGTTGTTCAGTTCTTCATTTTAAATTATTTCAAATTATTTATTATATATCAAATGCATCAATATTCAGACTGGAAAGTAAAGCTCATTTGATACTTTCTGCTCTTAAGTAAATAATCATTCTATCAAAGAAGATAATGATGGAAATAAATTTTAATAAATTTTAGTATTTACCATTATCATAGTTATTGATGCCATCATTATTTTTCAAATTCATTGAATAGCCTTCACTATATTGAAGATTTGTTTCCGGCATATGGGGAATTGAATCATTTTTCTCACAGATCACAATGTTAGGATTAAAAGGCCATGGAATAGGTTTTAAATAATCTGGATTATTTGTCGTTTGCATTACAAATTTTTATATTCTTTAATATTTTTTTTCAGTTTTTCATCCATCAGTTGTGGAAGAATAAACTCTTGAAATTTCTGTAAATATCTGATATCTGATACTAAATATCTGATAAAGAAGCATATTTTTCTCTGATAATTTAGGGAATTATATATTTATTTAGTTGGTTGCATAATATTTTCAAAGCCTCTGCTTTTTTAGGCAAAATTATTGGAAAGTTTGTTTAACTGATAAACAAGCAAACATTTATTCCATTAGTGATTTATTCATCACTTTCAAAATTCTTTTAGCGAAGTTCAAGATATTTTTTATAAAAACTTTTTAAATATAAAAAAAATATATAATATATTTAAATATAAAATAACTTTTAACTTTTTAACTTAATAATAACTTTTTAAATATAAAAAAAATAAAATATGTAATATATTTAAATATAAAATAAATAAAATAAAATAAAAAACTATTCAAATATAAAATAAATTGATTTGGCCTATTTGAATAGGAGAATAGTGTGATTCAGAAATATGAAGTGCAGCCATGGCCTTAATCAATAATATAAATTACTTATTTACTAAAATGAAAAAATTTCTCCCTTGTCACCGGCTGACAGAAGTAACTGGTCGAGTTTCTTGGACAAAGTTCGCTAATTTGCTCCGATACTTATTTGTTCATTTTCTAAGAATTTCTGCTAAATTTTTAGCTACCATCGAAGAATTAACTGTATTCTTTTCTTATCACATTTTTTGAACGCAAAAAAATTTAAAAAACAATAAATTTGTAAATCATATAACATATTAATATAACATATATTTGTAAATCATATAACATATTATAAATATAAAATAATACAGCAAATAACTAATCGAAAAAGAATAGATATATTCAGATAAGCAATCGAAACAAATTTTCGTTATAAAAACAATAAATTTACTTTATCTTTGACAGTTTTAACTTAATGACTTGGAATTTCAACTTAGTTACGCCTTATAAGCCATACAAGAATCAATAATAAAGATATTTAATAATTCACCAGAAATCTATGCTGTAATGGAACTTTAAATTATAAAATTCGTTGAAGAAGTTGATTAAATGGCATTAAATGACTTATTAATAATATATGAATATCGCGATACATTTGTTGTTTGATCGACTTACATTTGATTTCAAATTGTGATAGAATTATTAATAAGTTTGAAGTTAAAAATTTAACCAAAATATTTCAGAAAAATAGCACTATGAAAACCTATTATTGAGTTATTGGACGAAACAAAAGGTCATCTAAATTTCTGAAAGAAAAAAATTCTTTCTTTTCGAATTAACTGAAGGAACAATTTTTTCTTCCCTTTGGCAGTAGCATTTATTGGGCATCTTGTCCTTTAGTTAAGATTATATTTGTGATTTAATGACAGCAGTTAAGATGAAGGAGAATATTGAGATAGTTCCATGTTTCATGGAATAACTTCGTATCCATCAGTACCATAGGCGAAACATCTTTCCTTCGTCCTAGATGGTCATATCAAACAAACAAAATTGGATATTCTCCAGATCCACACTAATTTTTTCAAGTACCATCTTCATTAGAATAGTAAAGAGGTGTTTATATCAAACTTGAAGTAAACGGTCAAGGTTTTTTTTTGGATTTTTTTAAAAAACTTCATAAATATTTGTTGGAGATAGTTTATTTGTAATAATTTTTCACAGTTCCAGTTCTACCTCAACCTTATTTGTCATTTAGCAAACTTGCCGTTTGTTATTTTGTACTTGCCACTTCATGCAGCGATTTTCTTCGTCCATCGACATTGTGGATTATAAGCTAATTGCAGATAAAGTTGGATTTAATCCTCAAATTCAATTTTTTTGGCTGTAGATGATCATAATAAAATTATTATATTGGAATCTACTGTAGGAATGCCTTTTTACTAGGTTTATAATGTACGGATTTTTGGTAGCATATACTTCAACATATATAAATGATAAACTTCTTATTAATTACCATCCTTTAAGCCCTTATTAAATCAAGAGAGATTCTTGGAGGAGTATCAGTCCTTTCGTTTATATATCAATAGAAAATCATCATACCTTGATACTGTTTTATAATATAGGCCGCTGCAAAATATTGTTTCATCATAATCTTCTGTTTCGATATCCCGAATCTTTTCTCTTTAATCTTCTTCGACAACACTTTAAATTGTGTCGTATTCTTACGCGATGTTCCTGCAGGAAAATCGCAAACTCGATTATACTAGCCCTGCTTGATGCCGCTATATTTTCTTAACATACTGCAATCTTCTGATACTCCTAAAAATCCCCCACTGTTTGCGAAATCTCAACTATTCGCGAATTTTTTTCTGGATAAGGGATCGGCCAAGAGAAGAAAGCTTTTGTATATTATTATAATGGAATATTGTAATACATTATAATAAAGGTATGATGATAACCCACTGATATATAGAGGAAAGGACTGATACTCCTAAGAATCTCTCGATTTAGATTTAGTTTAAATGGATGTTATCAAGACATGTTTTATCATTTATTATAGTAACTTTGTTTATTTCTTGCATAGTTCACCATATATGGTCCACTGAACTTTTACTAAATCCAAATGGCTAGTGAGTTGAGCGCAAACTTAACAACTTATTGTCTATTTGCAAACAAGATTTGACATTTGTGATAATGTGATTTGTGATAATTTTGCAATACAGTTGCATTTTTCTCTTCATTTTTTAAAATTTAATCATATTTAATCAGAATTTTTAAAAGTTTAAGCAAGTTTAATTCGATTTAAATTTAAAGGCATTTTAATTCAAAAAATATTTAGAAAAAATTTATCGCAAAATTTTAGAAATTTTAGAAATCTTTGCTTTATTCTCAAAGGAACGAACGATGAGCAATTTTTAACGAATTTCTTGTGTTCAATGAAAGCGAAAATTTTTTAATAAAAATTACGACGTATTGTAAAAAAATACGAGGAATGTATATACATACACGAGTAAATCAATTGAAATTTATTCATTTCACTAGAAAGGGACTTTCACTAATGCAATTCATTTAGGCCGTTTTTGCAAATAATTATGCCATTTAATTTTTATTCAAAATATCGATCACTACTTCTTTTAATCTTCAATGTGATTGTCGCAACTGTATGGTTTCATGATGGAGTTTGTCGGCTGAATCAAATCTTCGATCAGATTTCGATTTTAGAATAATTTTCGTTCACTTGAATTTCAATTTGATCTTATTTTATGGTATGTTAAAAGGTATCTCTAGAGTTAACTATTTTGGCTAGGCGCGCCCCACTGGCTGTTTGAGGTCACTTGGTGAGCGAAGAGCGAAGGAAAAAGATTGGTTACACTATTCAGCTTTTTGTCTCAAATTTTTTATTTATAGTTTTTCAATTAAATTTAAAATTCGATGTGTTATAATTATTTTGCGTTATTTCTTTTTAATGGTTAATTTAAAATCATTAAATGTGCTATTACAGAATATTTCGTCTAAAATACTGGAAGTATTGTGAAATAATTATAAAAATGGATGTTAACGGTTCAAATTTATTCCCACTGATCGTAACTATCCGAATCATCCCTTAAGATTTTTTAATTTTTTTTGAATGAGCTTTAACTGTTGTCTATGAATTGTTCAAAATGATTTATGAATCAATTCTGATATCTAATACTGCATAATATTTAATTTTTTTTTAACAAATCGTTTTTTCTTTTTTTTAGGAACCCTTACCATCACTGGTTAGACTCGCTCTGCTAGCTTGTCGCACTAGACAAATGTGCCGGAATGTCCCTTGACCACAGAAGTACAGAGGAGTCGTCATCATCGCTCGGATTTTTGGACAGGTTTACTTCTGCTGCGAGTAGAACATCAGCATCAGCATTCCGAATTGAACAACAGTCCACTAAGCCATTCTACTCCCCAAATTCTTATCATATAGTTTCACCATTTCTTGTTTAACTTTATTTATTATAGTGATATGACTCTCTTTCACCGTGAATGGTATGAACGAGGAATAGAGATACTAATGAATCTTTAGCACCAAGTTATCATTTTTAATGGAAGATTTATTCTGATTATGCGAAATAAATTCAAATAATTCAGAGAATATAGAAAAATAGAAAGCTCAACGGTAGAAATAGAAATAGTTACGCCAATATTTCTCAATTAAAGTAAGTAAGTAAACCTCCTAGCTGCATATAAAAGTTGCGAACGATACTTAAACTTGGGTAATTAAACCTTTTGTTAAAAAATCCACAAAAAAAACTCAAATGAACCAAAATTTTTGCGATTATTATGTGACCAGAAATGGCACCAATAACACGTTTTAAGTGATCAAAAGAAAAAAAATAAAATGAAGAGCATAAAAAAAAGAATTAAAAAATAAAAATTGACTATTGATCATGAATCGTTCTTTTGGCATATTAATGGTAATTTCTTTAGTAGGCACAATGATCGTGCCAAATAAATTTTTTATTTTTTTTTCAAGAGTCCTCTCATTTACTGGCTAAACTCGCTCCACTGGCTTATCGCATTGGGCGATATGCCAGGGAGTCCCTTGACGATAGAAATACAGGTAAGTCGGCAGCATCACCCATATTTTTGTACAGGTTTATTCCTGCGGGGAATCGAACCTCGGCGCTCCAAACTGAACAATCATTAATGCCAAATAAATTTTTTATAATTTAATGTTTACTAGATTTCAATATTGCGCTTTATAGAGGAAGAGAATCATTCGCCAAAGCGACGAAATTCTCGGTTCGGTTCGTCAATTTTATGTACTAACTGGTATATGAGTCGCGTTACTTTTATTCTACAAAAACATTCATTGGAAATGATATTAATGGTACTCGATGAACAAAATGTAATCACCACTTTTTAGTCATTACACCATTTTTTCTTTAGTGTTACAAGACAACCAATTTAAAAACTACATTGCGCGATACTCGTAAGCCACAAGGAAAAGCAAAAAAACGGCATGGAATTTTCATAATTTATTAATATGATATGATAATATGTTCATTAAAGCGACTCTGCTTCAAACTTCATTTGCATAATGTTTAAGCATTTGTAAAGGAATTAATTTTTCATGCTCTCCATTTTTTGATGAATTACATAAATTACAACTTGCATCGAAAGATACCTTGATTTCGACGAGGAATTTTAGAAAAATCGTTCTCTTAGTCTAAAATTCCGAATGGATGAAGATACGAGGATACTAGCTAAACTACTTCTTTGCGACTGGCTAATCTAATAGTTGGTTTTATGATATTCGGATCTACCTTTCCACTCAGCTGCAGATTACTCACTTTGCTATTCTAACCAGCTGCCAATTTCTACTAGATTTGCTGTCCTTGTTGTCAAGAATAATGCCTTAATGCCTTTCTCTACTCTGTATATAAATTTGCTCGAGCATTTCGATACCTTCAATTAGCTCTCGAAGTCAATTTGATTTTGATGCCATGCATCCCAGAATTTTTAATGTCCTTTGTTCGCATTAGATGGGTCAGCTTTATACTCGTAATTCAAATTCTTATCCATCAACAAGCATTTCCTTGTCATTTGTCACCTGGGCGAATAATAAGGTACTGGTTTTCTGTTAAGGAAATTAGTGACCGAAGATTCACAATATTTCACTAAAATCAATTTTTTTTCATTTAAGAGCTTTTTATCAACCATTCTTTTCATTTTTTTAAAAGAGTCCTCATCATTACTGGTTAGACCCGCTCCACTGGCTTTTTACACTGGACAATATGCCAGGAAGTCCCTTGGCGATAGAAATATAGATGAATCGCCTGCATTGTCCGTATTTTTGCACAGGTTTACTCCTGCGGGGAATCGAACATCGGCACTTCCAATTGAGCAACAAAGGAGCCACTGAGCCATTCTATCCCCATTCTTTCCATTACATTTTTTGTAATGCTTATCATAGATTTTTTTTTAATAGAATTCTTCTTGTTAAGGCGCATGCGGTATTGCAAACTTCCAGCTCACTTTTGTAATCATTCTTACCATTTAGTATTGAGATAGAAACTTGAGAACTTTCGAACTTTCGAAGTTTGCATCTTGTGGAGAATCTGCGAAACAGATAGATGAAAAGTTTGATCTTGAGCTGTCTCTAAACAGAGATAGCCTGAGTTGAACAAGTAACAAAAACTACTCAATTCTTAACAACAGGGTCATCTTTGCGAATATTTGGAGATCTATGTCCAGCTCAGACTTATTCTCTGAACTCTGCTATCAGGAATATCGAGAGCTTGAACGATTTCTCATCGCATCTTCTATGCAGTTTCCATGCACCTTATGCAGTTCTTTCTTATTACAATTTTCACAACTTCTACGGTTTGAAATCCAATGTCCTCGTCGTAGTTGAATTGTATGCTATTCCCATATGTACAGTGAAGGAATATGAATTAGATTAATTTGCTTTTCAGAAGAAATTGCTTGATTTGATCTGGGCACCTAAAAATGTGGTGCTCACCTTCGAATGCTTCTACTTTCCAAAAAATTTTCTGGTTCAATTTTTTCCGCTTTATCTCTGCGAACCTGGCGCTAACCAGCTACAAGTTTGAATTTGTTAAATAAATTTCATTCTAACCTATAATTGATATCCATTTTTCTCAAAGTTTTACAATGTTTCGTGAAGAATTTTCTTACATTTCCATTACTGTTAGCATAATATATGAGTTCATCAGTTGAATTGCTTAAAGATCGCATTGAATATTAATTTGTTGACAACCTGACATCTCTTGACTAACCAGGTTTATTTGCATATCAAATCAGAATCAGAATCACCATCCCCCTCATATTTTTTTATAAATCAATTCAGTGGTGGATCTCTTTGCTGGATCTATTGGGTTTTGATGGGAAGGAACATAACATCTCTCAACGACTTTTGTCAGTGATAATCTTTACTAATCTATTTTAGATAATTCATAATAATAGATAACTCATTTTTGTTTCTTTTGCACTGTTGATCTAATCCAGAACATCACTCCACACTCCACAAAAATTGTGACATTCTTACAATGGTGACATGTCCCACAAAATAATTCTGTTCGAGAGGTTATAAGGGGAATAAGTCTACAATCGATCAAGGTCGTTTTAGTATTGGGATTATCAATGAATTTATGGGAATTAATCTTGGTTTGGTCATCATGATCTTTGGCGCTCTTCATCCACATTAGTGACTTTAAAGGCTACAACAGCTCTTGCTTATGCATGGGCGAAACAACATAATTTGATGTGCTGGATTTTTTTAGATTTCCAAAGTAAAGGAACATCAAGGATTCGAACCCATACTGAAACAACGACGATCGTTATATCTCCTGTCCTACCTTATTACCCTTAATCTTTGCTAAAATTTGTTTTACCCTCTTCATGATGTAATTTCTCTTCTTCATTTCATCAATAATATAGGAAATATAAAAAGTAGTTCCAATCTTAAGATTTCTTGGATAAATTAAATTATTCTTTCATGATAATAAATGCTTTTCGTTCTGCATTGATTGATTTATGCTATACCGCTATACCCTAAAGGAAAGGCTATTTTTTCCGCAATTTTTGTAATTTAAATTTAACAAAGCTGTTTTCATTATTAAGTGATGGATTTCATGCATAAAGCTATTGAAGAAGCTTGCCATGGTGTACAAGCTGGTGATGGAGGTCCATTTGGTGCAGTTATTGCTCGTCAAAGACATATTGTTGCAGTGGGCCACAACATGGTACAATTTTTCTTTCTTTTCTGTTGGCTTAAAAGGAAAATTGAAAAGAAAAAATTGGATGTCATGACATAAGATTCAAATCGTTTTCATACCTGAAAGCAATTTAAATTCAGTGTTTTAAGGCTAGAGCTAAAAATGGTGTTTTCCAAGACTCTATATTTTAAATTCTTTTCCGATAAAAGTTTTATTATTTCCGGGATTTCCATATCCAGAGCTCGAAAAAATAATAGACTAGGTACTTCAAAATAATCTACTAGTGTTAATTATTACCATCCTCAGGTACTTTTGAATAATGATCCAACAGCACATGCTGAAATAATTGCAATACGAAAGGCATGCGCCGTGTTAAAAACATATGACCTCAGTGGATGCGTTCTATATACTTCATGCTATCCATGCCCTATGTGTATGACTGCATCGCTATGGGCGCGGATCCATGTTATTTATTATTCTGCAACCGCACAAGATGTTAGTTCATATTTTCTCTTTGATATTCTTAAAGGTTGAAGTAAAGGTTGAAGTAAAAATATTAACAAGATAACATCCATCACATGACTACTATCATATTTATACCGTATCTTATTAATTTCTCTTAGGTTTTAGTTAAATTATTAATTGTTCACGCAAATTTATGGGTTTTTAACTGGTTCTGTATGAGAAAAAACGAATACATAATAGATGCTCAGAAATAGAAGTTTTTTTAGAAGTTCTCATTTAAATTTTCCTAATCAAACTGTTTTTCTTGTTCTATTAAAATAATAAATTGTTATGAGGCTTCTTCAGGCAGCTAAAGCCGGTTTTGATGATAAAATATTCCATGATTTTGTAAAAGATCCGAAATCAGACAATATTCGTCGATTGGAACAGTTAAACGTCCCAGAAGTTTTGAAGCCATTTGAGATGTGGGCAGCGAAAGAAGACAAAACTATATATTGAATATTTGTTTTCTTTGGTTTTTTTTCAGCTGTTTTTGTATTGGTATTGGTCTTTTATTTTTCTAATTCTAATAATTTTTGATTATGAAAAATAGTATAAAGCATTGTTTCTATTTTTTGAAAAAAAAATAGTTTAAAAGCACTTTGCAAGTACAAACAGTACAATAGGTTAAAGTGCCATTTAAATAGGTCAATAATATCATTTTTCCAAACTAAGAATTATCGAACTATATTCCAAGGATTATCGAACTTGCTCGAAAATTTTGATTAAGGGCTAGACGATTTATAGAAAATTATGTCATGAGCTTAATAAAGTTCAGATGACAAATTCAAGGGAGACGTGGTTTTAATTAGCTGGCGAAAGTTAAATATTCAGTGAAAAGAATAAATTGTATTTAAAAAGAAAGTTTGTGGTTGACAAACGAAAGAAAAGCGGCATCTCATTTTTTTTTCTCGCTTCGTTAAGGATTTAATTATTAAAATTTTTTAAAAATATTTATTAACTTCATGGAAATTCCTAAAATGTTTTTTCTTTGCCACAACTCTTTATTATTGGTTTAATTCGTTTCATGATGGTGAAAGTTGGCACTTGTAAATAGAAGCAGTGCAACCTTTAGCTTCAAATTATTATTTAGAAAGATTATTGCCATCAATAAACAAAGATAGAACTATAATACCACAGGATTCTGAGCATTCGATTACACCCAGAAATAAATAAAAGCTTATTCAACACCTAATTTTTTATTAGGCTAGCTGGCTGTTAATTAGAAATTGTGTTAATAATAAGTGGTTACCTATTGGACTGGTAAAGCAGAATATTATGATAATGAGTGACATATTTATAAAGCAGCTTTGGATAGTTAGGGATCTCTGGGCCTTTTCAAAGGATTCTTGAGTTTAAGTTATTTCTTATTTTATTTCTCATAGGGCAAGTATAAATCAATTTAAAGGACATAAGCAAGATCTTTGGAAATCTTTGGAGATCTTCAATGATTTTTAAGCAAGTAATGGAGTCCTGTAAGAAAATCTGAAAATCACCGATCCTATACATAAATCTAAAGTCAATAATTATAAGATCTGAATGGTGCGAGTGATACTGGAGACAAGGTTAACTTTAGCACGTTAATCGTTTTTGGGCGAAGTGCCAATAAAAAAACAGCCTTGTTGAGTAATACGAAATATTCGTTTGCAGCAAGTCGGTTGATGAGAAATTGCCCAAAAAAGTAATAAATAATCGATTTCGACCCTGTTAAGCCCCCACTATTCAAATTTTATTTGCTGCTAGGTGGTCTGCTAAAGAAGAAGTTTTAATTGAAATGAAGCAAACAAGTGCAAAATTAGTATAATTAAGTAACGTTATAATGTTATGTTTAAGACATAATTATCTTTTGAATGCTATTGAAAATACCATTTTTCGTCATATTCCAGAATTGTTTAATTAATTTCGTATTATTTCGAATCTTTTATTTTTCACTTTTTCCATTAATTTTAAATTAGACGCCTGCAAATGTTTAACTGTTGATTTTCCTCAAAAAGCGGCATCGGGAGATGAAGAAGATAAATGATGAAAAGGATAAATGATGTATTTAAAAGTGGATTAAGGTGACATTGAAGTGAAAATAAGAGGGAATGTTCCATGAAAAAATTATTTTTTTCACGCTTTTCATACTTTTCACTCTTTAGAGTTTCTCCTTAAATCATTTAAATTTTTAAATCGCTTCTTTTAGCTTTATAATATTTAAATAAGTCGACAAATTTTAATTTTAATTTTAATTTCATAACATTTAATAAAAATCTTAAATTTATTTATATTCACAATTTATAAAATTTCTAAGGTTCTTCATTTTTATAATTAATTTGGCTGACTCAAATTGGCAACTAGAATAAGAACTTTGAGAAGTCTTATCTTCCAAGCATTTTGCTTGTATGTACAGTTAAATTGAGGAAGCTTTTTTTAAATATGAAATAAGAAATAGATTTTGAAATTTCTTTAGAATTACTAATCATTAAAATTTCAAAATCAAGAAAAGAGAAATTCAAATTGCAAGTTCGAAAAGAAAATGAATTCAATTCAAAACTGTTGGCAAAGAGGACCTGTAAGGTTCGCACAAAATTGACAATTCAGAAAAACAGCATACTCCAAGATTTTAAACCACCATAGAACTAGAAGGCTTTGGGACAATGACGGCATTTCAAACTAAGTTTTTGAAGTATCTTAATGATATAATTATTATTTTTCTGGAATGGCAGAATGAATACTGGTCTCAACTAAAGGAATGTCTCCGAAAGTTAACTTTCATTCTAGGGTATGCTATAGGAAACTATTTTACGCTTGTTGACTATGCGAAGCAACTGTCAAACGGCCTAAAATCATTGTCAAAGCAGAAATATGAGGAAATTCTGACTATCAGATGTTTCGAAGAATTGAAACGACAGCGACAGAAATCGTTATTGGAGGTAGATGGCCTTGAGAATAAAGATAACGGCTCGATTAGGCAACAGTAGAGAACTATTCCGTCTTCTTTATAAAATTATAATTCAAAGAACGGCCAGTGAAATATTGTGCGATAGCAATGTGGGTTCAGAATATTAAGGATCGCCTCGTAAGATGGAAAAAATTCTTCGAGGCCAAACTTAACCACGATACCCCAAGTATAGTTAATTCGCTCGTTGAACCAAACGTTTATGAACCGCTAACAGAAAAGAAACTAATTTCTGTTATCCATAAGTTTAAAGCTTGTAAAACTCAGGGAGAAGATGGTTTCGAAATGAATTCTTCAAATGTTGCCCATCTTCCTATAGTATAAATAAAACGTCTTTTCGTCTTATACAGGAGAACTTGATAAAATATCGCCTTGACCACTTATGTCCATTTTACGGGTTCGTCGAGTGCATGAAATCTCACATCGAGTTTCATTCAAATACCACTGGCATTAACAGTACCATCACAGAGCGTCGCTTGATTAGGGCACATTCTTCGTAGCTCACCACAAGAAATATTGACATATTTCGTTATTTGTTAAACCCTGTGGTGTATGGCATCAAAAGCAAGATGCACCAATCAAAACCTGGAATAATACAGTTTGGAAAAATTTAACATTTATAGGTGAACCAGTTGTCGCTTTATGCATTTTGTCGTAGCAGTGTATGATCATTTCTATTTACTGAATATATTAGAAAGCAGTGAAATTAAGCACCAACATCTTTATACAGTGCGAAGTTAATGGTAGATTTGCTTTTGCGAGAAGATAAAAAATCCATGCAGCTTGACTCCCAGATGAATCAAACAACCTATACTCTATCAATAAGGAGGTTTTTCGCTTTATTTGCTATTTCACCCAGCATACTTTCTACGCAAATGTAGCTAAACTTTGAATTATAATAAATGTCGCTATAGATTTTTTTTCTGGAAGAAAGTATAAATTCGCTACAATTGGAAAAAAACTGCAGACAGATCAATTCGCCAAATTTTTATTTTTTGCTCAAATAATTTCTGGTATAATTTGTTTTGCCACTAAAATTTGCCGTTTCAGAAAACTTCATCTTTAATCATTCAAATATTTCTCGTATTATCAAACCACGATTTTTCTTAAATTAAATCACAGATTATAATTAATTACTTCAAGAGAATCAATTTTAGTACAACGCCTTAATGGTGTACATTACTGTAGCTACTGGAGAGAATTAACAGTAACTGTGAGCAAGAAGAAGAAGGAGGAATCAGTCAAGTTTAGATAAGAATAAAAATAAATAAGAACAATTTTTCGAGAATTGACTTGCTTTTCCCCATTGTTTCTTACTTATTCAAAAGAAAATATTTTGAAGACAAATTGCTTCTGTTGGTAAACATTTCTTTAGCAAAGCATGATCATCATGGATCCTTTGTTTACGATCGCCGATTGATTCAATTATTGAACGATTATTGAATAAGTAAGAACTATTATTGAAACTATGAAGCCATAAGAATTATTGATGATATGATAAGCACAGCACTAGTTCATTTGTCTGAATATGGAAGGCAGACTAATGGAATTTGAATTCAATAATTAGCATCCAATCTAAAAATGCTGTTCTGGCGATTTACGTTTTATATGAAATCGAAATATCATCTCCGCAAGTATCTTTTCGTCATTTTTTAAAATTTTTCTGTTGCTTTATACTTTAAATTTCGATTTAAATTTCGATGCTTTAAATAGTTTATTTATTTATTGCTTAAGATTCAGCAAACTGTCTTTACCCATTCAGTGCATGAAAAAATCGATGCTATCCGAATAATTCTGATTTAAACCAATCAATCGATTACTGATTAGATTGACATGGAAGTGGATGAACCGAAATGATATCCGTCCATCTTTCACCTTCCGGAATCCAACTCTGTTCCACAGTATTTTCCAAAGATAGAAATAAAATGCCAGCTGATTTAATATTGCAGCAATGAATCTAGTCCAATTTTCTGCTCTTGGTTTATTCTATTTATTCTACTTATTTTTATGTTTTATGTTAAATTTCCAAGTGATATCACGCCTCACTCAACATTGCATTCCTCTTTCATTTATGAATGACATTAGTTTAGTTCGAAAATTTATCACTTCTTCTGATAGAATTCAGCATTTGTGGCATTGGCTCCACTGATTACAAAAATGAAACCTTTTTGTTAGTATATCACTTAGAGATAAAAATACGGGCTTAAGTGCCACACGGATTTCATTTTTTAATGTCAATTTGAATATAATTACTAATCATCTCAGTTCTTTTTTTTCATTTCTTCTTCTTCATATGAGAACAAATCGTTAACTTTCAAAAACTTTTTAATTTTTTTCATTTTGCCGTTGCCGTTATTAAGACTGTCGTAATTGGATTTGGAGAAGAAATTTATGCGTTTCTATTTAACTAAACATTTTCATTTGATTTTTAGGTTAAATTTTTTAAGCAATTTATTCAATTTGTAAACAATTTCTTCCTCGAGTTTAATAAATCATGAGAAATAATTTATTGAATTCC